CTCATGATTGCTGTCAGTGTGGTCAGTAGGTGATCATTAGGCACAGGCAGCGTGTGTATTGATTTGATGAGGAATGTCCTCTCTAATTGACTGCTCGGGGTCCCGAGCAATCAATGCTGGNAATGTATGTTCAAAAGAAACAATAGTTATTGAATTACAAACAACATAAATATTGATTTACGCAAAAAAAATACATAAATAAAAATTAGGATTATTTGCACCAGTGGTCCCCAAACTATTCATGTTGTCTCATTTTGGCCCTAACATTTCAATTGCATCAAATTGGTCCCCAAAGTATTCACTTTGATTTATTTTGGTCCCAACCATAGACATTTGCTTTTTGTCGTCTCCATCTTCATGTGCCATTCACGTGAGGGGCAAATTGAACATTGCACTATACTTCGCCTGCTTAGCCATTCGAAGCCTGTAATGAATTGGCTCTTCACTTTCATTTCAACAACAACAATTGTGAGAACTCCTTTTTAGGGCAAAATGACCAGTGCTGATCAGGGCAAAATACAAGAGTTATTAGTTTCGTCTACATCTTTGTTGATTGTGATTCAGTGTAAAGATGGTTCGTTGCATTAGGAAGAAGAAAGGGAATCAGGGTGGATCATACGATGTTCCCCATTACAGTATGTACTGATTTTTATAGTTTTGGATTTCAGTTTCATGAGTTCAACTGAATATAAAAGGTCTTGATGTTGTCAAACATATTTGTTTATGCAAAACAATTTTTTTTTTTGCAAAATTTTATAGTTTTTGTGGCTGTTGGAAACTACTTGTTTATGCAATATGAATTTTATATATTATATTTTATAATTTATGAGTTTGTTGAATTTTATAATATGAATTTTACATTTACTTGTTTTTGGAAACTATTAGACAATGATTCTTCACTTTTCTCAATGGAGATTTACCACAGTGGTGAATTTACAAAGAATCCAAACAAAGCTTATGTTGGGGGCAAAATAGACTACATAGGTGACTATGATTGCAAATTGATGTCACTTATTGAAATGAATAATATAACTAATAGTCTTGGTTGTACTCCATATATTGGATTTTATTACAAACTTCCTGGTTTGGATTTGGACAAAGGGCTAGTATATATAAGTAGTGATGAACATGTATTGAATATGTCACATCATTTGCATAAAATAGGCTAGCTCAGGTATATTTTAAACATATAGGAGGTATTTAATTAGTGGATAGTCAGATTGGATCATTTAGAGGCAAAAACAATCATCCTGTTGATGGTGATGACCCAATTGAGAATAGTGGCATAGGGGATGAGGTACCATCAGACTCAGATGAGTACCAACTTGAATCTGAATGCAGTGAATATGAAAATTTGGTTGACAGTAATTATGAAAGTGTAACAAGAAGCTTCACATGTATATTGAATGTTGAAATCTATACTCAAAGTTACATGGAATATCAACATTTCACATTCCACTAATTAAACATTCTACAAAAGAGAAGTCATATTTATACATAATTAAACTTTATTACATAGAGAACATCAACCTAGTACACATGTTTCCAGCTCTATTACACATGTTTGTAGCTTTACAAAGTCTAATTACATGAAATACAACACATAAGTGAGAATGAAAATTGTCCATGAAGAAAGCAGAGCAACCCATAAGATTTTATCCTTCTTCTTTGACAGTCGTTGTTGGTCATCGTGTCTTTGGAGAGATCGCAAAAGTCTAGGTATCATACGCTTCGATCTATCACACATTAGAGGATCATACCAAACAAAAAATTCACAGCCTCCAGCTTCCTAACAATGCAATACTTTGTTAAAAAATTTCAAATGTTCATACAAAACTAACAAATGAAATAAAAATAAGGATTACCCCATATCTCTTACACCCAATAAAGCTTATTCCTGGGTTTGTAGTAGTCCAATAAGTCTGCATTTTGCCCATTCTCCTATTGTAGCATGGTGTTGCCTCCATTATATGAATTTCATCCCTCACGTTTTTTTTTTCTTCCCTTCTCTCCCCCTTTTTTCCTCCCTTCTCTTCTTCTTTCTGGTTTGAGATGTTCCATTTGTTTCCTTTGGCTGTTGGACAGTCTATAATGTGGGCATGGAGGAGTTGGCAGGAATGTTTTCCTCCCAGATTAGGTATGTGCAATATTTAATTTGCCCCTCACGTGAGTAACACATGGAGACGGAGACGGCAAAAAGCAAACGGTGTCTATGGTTGGGGTTAAAATAAATCAAAGTAAATATTTTGAGAATTAATTTGATGTAATTAAAATGTTGAGGACTAAAATGAGCTAACATGAATAATTTAAGGACCACCAATTCAAATAATCCTATAGATTAACAATTTAATGGGCCCTATTAAAAAAAAGAAGTTTTTTGAAACTGTGTGCGGTGACACGGCACAAAAGTTTTACCACAGCCTAGACGGCACAACCTGATTGGCTAGCCCAGCTGATTCATCACACTATTGCCGTCACTAAAGTCGGTAATTTATGATAAAAATATACTTGCCAAATTTGCTGATCAATGGCAAATAACGTGTCAAAATTTTGTACATTAAATAGTTGATAAAAATTAATAGATCCTATTGATCAAATTATTCACTCTGATTTATGATATAAAATTTAATAAATAATTTGATAAACATAACATGACTAGTAATTAAATCTTGTAACGAAGATTAGTGGTTAATTTAAATGTGGATTTAAACCTCATTAATCTATCCCTTGCAATACTATTACTAAAAAAAAAAATTCAAGCAATCTCATGAAGATAGAAATATATTATAAATTCAGATATTTTAATTTCAAAACTTTGTAATCCCTTAGAGTTAATCAATTTTTTAATTTTGACATAAATAAATTATTTTTGATCGAACGAAAATTAGTGAAAGTGTTTATGAGGGTAAATTAAGCCGAAGTACAACATCGAAAAAACAAAGGTCGGCAATTTTATCATCTTCTGTCGTTATCAGTCCAAGTACTGTCAGTTTACCGATCAACAAAGACGGAGATGAAATTTTTCGATAGATTTGGAGTCACGGATGGATATTAGAACAAACCATTTATGGCATTTCCGGTAATTTTACCCAAAAAGGAGGTTTTCTTGACCTCTTCCTTTCCCGACTATATATACGTCATGTGTAACACCCCACCAGTAGCCTCCCATTTCGAGTTTTTCTCTATCTGATTCCGCCGTCCGTCTCCTTCACGGACATAGCTCCTCGAAACTCACCCTTCAATCACAATTCTATCCATAAATTACTCTCCATTGCTCTCAGTTTTCATGAATTTTGTAGGCTAATCGTTATCAGATCGATTTGATCTCGGTGTCTTTCTTCTTCTCCGTCTCAGATCGATCCAGTTTACTCCGTTTTAGGCACTGATCATAAAGGTATCCATCTTGGATTCAAAATCTCTCTCTCTCTCTCTCTCTTTATATATATATATATATATACACACACACACATATCGATGTATGTATAGGCATTGAATTTTGATATTTTTTCTTCTCCGTATCTTTATAAACAAGCGCACAGATCACATACAGGTATCGTGTTCAGATCTCTTNACACACACACATATCGATGTATGTATAGGCATTGAATTTTGATATTTTTTCTTCTCCGTATCTTTATAAACAAGCGCACAGATCACATACAGGTATCGTGTTCAGATCTCTTTCTCTACATGTATTCTTTAGTATATATCTGCATGCATGAATGTATCGACTTCAACTTCTTGTTTTTCCTTTTCGAATTATATATTCCATCATGCCAGTGCTGCATTAGATAGATTTGCAATCACAGATATGCGTGCGCTTGAATCTTCTGTCACGTTATGTATTCTACATTCATATATATATTTATTCAAACAGTCAGCACAGATTATTGCACTTTATCTACTAAAAGCTTTCATCGATTGTAACGGTTTCTTTGATGTGATGGTTTTGTAGGATTTGGTAATGGTTGTTACCTGTTGTTATTTTTTATGTTTTTGAGTCTTTTATTTATAGATCTGCAAGTTCTTTAAAAATGTGTAATTTACTGTTTTTTACCCTGTAGCGCTGCATGTTTACCATTCTCTGATTATCTTTAATTTACTGTAGTTACTTTTTTTGGTGCATTAGCCATTGCTTGGATCCCTAATTTTACGTATCTTACAATTTTGGCTTGTTTTTTAACCTTCCATTGATCCTTTTCTTTGTACCAAATTGATGTTTTCATTGGATTCCTTAATATCAAAGAGTCGAGCTTTTTCTGCTAAATCATTTTTTCTGATAGATTTGTATGTGCACATGGTTGCATGTGTAGGACCTATTTGTTCAACGGTTTTGGATGAAGAAATTGTTTGTAGATCATCCTATTGGTAGTGTGTGTGGCACCTACAATGTGTGTTATGAAGGTAAAATTGTGAGATTGGGTATGTTGTGAGGGCATTAACTAAGGAAGTGACCACAGAATGCTCTTACTACTTATCAAGGAAAAAATGTAAAAAAAGGATGCTCTTAGTATAGCGAGAGAAAATTAGAGGATGAGCGATGAAAAAGCTCTGAAACAGGCATTCAAAGATGCTTAGAGAAACTTACAATGGATGGGATGTAATTTGTTTGTGGTGAAGCTGGTTTCTTTGCTAAATAACTAAAAGGGGACTTTCACAGGAATTTTGCGTTAATCGAACACTTTTGGTGCCTTGTGATGCACGAATTGATATCATTTTATGTTTCTGCAGATCTTTAGCTGTTGAAATGGCGTCAACAGCTGGAAGATGGTTGAGAGGAAGGGTGAAATCTGTTCCATCTGGAGATAGTTTGGTGATTATGGGGAACACCAATTCCAACATCCCCATTCCCCCTGAAAAGACTATTACGTTGTCATCTCTTATTGCTCCGAAGTTGGTATGTCTACTTTAAACAGAAGTAGTCAAGTCATATTATGTGTCACCTTCTTCTGTATGTTTGTTCTTCATTATTATTTTGCATTATTCGTTCTTGAAATTTTGTTTCTTTGTTCAAAAGATACGGTCATACTATTGTAACCTTGTTAACTTTTTTCAAGTTTAGATAAGTAGCTTTATCTTTTAACTTACTGTCTTTCTCAATCCTGTTGAAGCGTGAGCTTGTACTTGGATTGTACATGAAGTCACTTATACCTGAACCCTTTCTTTCCCCATAAAGGTCGCTGGTGATTTATTTGTCCTCAGTATCTTTATTATTTGTGTTGTTAGTGCTTAGAATTCACAATTTAGGTTTACGACAGTTTTTTTTATTTCCCATCTGACTCTTATGTCATCTGTTTGCCTTCACCCTCATTATGGATTCCCTTTCATCAATTAATAATAGTCATTGTCTTTGTCTTTTTGGATAAATAATAACTCTCANTTAGTGCTTAGAATTCACAATTTAGGTTTACGACAGTTTTTTTTATTTCCCATCTGACTCTTATGTCATCTGTTTGCCTTCACCCTCATTATGGATTCCCTTTCATCAATTAATAATAGTCATTGTCTTTGTCTTTTTGGATAAATAATAACTCTCATTGTGATTATCACAAGTGTTACTTTTTGTAGAGCTAGAGTCAAAACAATATCAACGTAATAAGAAATAAGTTCTAATGGACTAGTGAGATGCCCTATGATATGAACTTACATATTTCTAAAAGTTCNCATTGTGATTATCACAAGTGTTACTTTTTGTAGAGCTAGAGTCAAAACAATATCAACTTAATAAGAAATAAGTTCTAATGGACTAGTGAGATGCCCTATGATATGAACTTACATATTTCTAAAAGTTAATGTGACCATTTGATTTTCTGGTTTAAGCAACCAACTATTTCAGCTTTTGCTTGCATGAATTGTAGCTTTGAGTTATGGGATATATTCAATCATGCTTTTGGCTTGCATGTTTACTCACTTCCCCTGTTCATATGCAGGCCCGTAGAGGTGGTATTGATGAGGCATTTGCATGGGAGAGCAGAGAGTTTTTACGGAAGCTTTGTATTGGGAAGGTGCTCACTAATTAAATGCTCCATGTTTCTTTTGCCATGTACTGTTCACTATTATGACTGAGATGTGTGCATCTAATCTTACTCAATTAATTTATTTTTCAACAGGAGGTCACTTTTAAAGTGGATTACACTGTACCGTCTATAGGGCGAGAATTTGGCTCCGTTTTCCTTGGTGATGACAAGAATGTAGCAGTTCTGGTTGTCTCTGCCGGCTGGGCAAAGGTCGATTCACTTTTTTACCTATACATATGTTGCCAATATTTCATTTGTTTTCAGTTTATTTTGAGCATTAGCTGAATCTGGAGGCTGCAGGTCAGGGACCAGGGTCAACGGAAAGGGGAAGTTAGTCCTTACTTATCAGAATTGCAACAGCTTGAAGATCAAGCCAAACAACAAGGTCTAGGTCTTTGGAGCAGGGTAAGTCTGAACTACTCTAGCTCCATTATCTTTAATTACTTTAGGTAATTAGGTTATTTTCCTGTTGTCGAATTATGCTCAGAACTTTGTGGCAAAGACTTATTCTAAAAGAAGAGGGCTGCATTTACGGGCTCACTATGAGAGCATGGCTGTGAAGAGCAATTGAACTTGTGAGGTCAATGCATTCCATCCTGTCCACCACAAGATTCTAACAGTTACTCCGGAGGCCCTTTATCTTGGTGCATAAGTAATGCAGATGCTTCTGAGTCCTGACATTGACTTAAACCCTGTGTCACTTTCCCCCTTCTCTCTTATATCGCTGCTGTAACTCACAACAAAATGGCTGGGTAGCTGTCATCTGCTTTTTGGCTTAGCTTATGTTATTGTGTGCATGTGCTTCTTTCCCTCATTGAGCATATGGCATTCTAATGGGCACCTTTGTGTGTACTATGTTAGTAATGTTTACAGATGAAAAGGGTTTTTCTTTGTATGCACTTCTAATCCTTTAAGCTATGTTTTGGTACAGGAGACAATGTCAAATAAGGAAATTGAGTGAAAACAAAAAAAAATTGTTAAGAAGATAAAAGGAAAAAAGGAAGAAAAAAGTTTAGAAATGAAAACATGCTATTGATATTATTCTGTTCTTTTATCTTGATCCTTATAAATATAATTTATTGAAAATAATAAGCATGATCATGAGGATGTGGCTCTTTTACGACCACAGTGTACAATGAGGAAGAATTCTATTTTGCCTCATTCTCACTTATGATACCACTATTAACATATCGTAAATTTTGTTTTCCTTTTCTTTGTTCTGTCTTGGTGTGTATTTTTATTTTATTTAATATTCTTTGGGGGGTGGTGGAGAGGGGTATTATCAGAGGTTTTTGGGGAGGCCAAAAGGTTTGAGTGGATGCTGGATTTTATTGTCTTTAAGGGTGTAGAAGATGGGTTAGCTGATGGGATTTTGAGGAGCTACATATAGGAATGAGTTGAGGATATGGTGGTCTTACTTGGTTTTACTATAAGTTCACACAAGATCCTTATACTGTCTTTAAGCTGATATGTTACACGTTGTGCTCGTCTGATTATAAGAAGAAATTCCTTTTTACTTAGCTACTTATATGGTCATTAATTTGGATTTATTCCTAAATTGTCATCATTGGATTAATCCCTGTTTCTGGGAGGCATATTTGGTGAACAGAAATTTAGTCCATCAAAACAAAAGGCCAATGTGTGTTATGTCCTGTGCCTGATGGGCAGAACTAATGGTGTTCTCTAATGAGCTTGGTTCTCATTCTGAATGTGGGGTTACTCTATACGCTTATTATGCGCACTGAGGTTGTAAACCTTTGGCTATGCTGTAAATTGTCATTGTGAACTAAAAAGTTGGAATTCCTTTGGCCCTAANAATGAGCTTGGTTCTCATTCTGAATGTGGGGTTACTCTATACGCTTATTATGCGCACCGAGGTTGTAAACCTTTGGCTATGCTGTAAATTGTCATTGTGAACTAAAAAGTTGGAATTCCTTTGGCCCTAATCTATATTGTTCTCGATTACTCATCTTTTGCTGAACCATGGCCTTCATATTTCTCTGCTATTGGAATTGTTTAACCTCCCTGGCTGTATTCTGTAAAGGTAATTGTAAAGTAAGATAATAGTGCTAGGTCTTTCTACTTCTGGTTTCAGGCACCAGAGGCCAGTGCAAATGCCATAAGGAACCTACCTCCATCTGCTGTTGGTGATCCTAGTAACTTGGATGCGATGGGCCTCTTAGCTTCAAACAAAGGTAGGCCCATGGAAGCTATCGTTGAGCAGGTTCGTGATGGAAGCACTATTCGGGTTTATTTGCTTCCAGAATTTCAGTTCGTCCAAGTGTTTGTTGCTGGAATCCAGGTATTCGACTTTTACTTGATCTGAATTCATTTGCTAGAGTTTCTCTGTATTTCTTATTTGTGAATTGTTAGTTTTATTCAGTTGGTTATCAATTATTCTCATCTTTGAACCAGGCTCCATCAATGGGAAGAAGGGCTGCAATGGAAACTGTTGTTGAAGCTGAAATTACCTCTGACGAAACTAATGGAGAATCTTCGGCAGGATCCCGTGGCCCCTTAACATCGGCGCAGAGGCTAGCAGCTTCATCAGTATCCTTCAATGAAGTTGCTCCTGATCCATATGGAAGGGAGGCTAAACTTTTTACAGAGATTCGCGTATTAAACAGAGATGTAAGTAATGTTTTGTTAGCAGTGACTTTGAATACTGCATCTACTTAAGATGGGCTTAATTTATGGTGTAATTTGCAGGTGCGCATTGTCCTGGAGGGTGTTGACAAATTCAGCAATTTGATTGGTTCAGTATATTATCCTGATGGTGAATCAGCAAAGGACTTGGCATTGGAGCTTGTCAAAAATGTATGTCAATGCAGGACAATTCTAGAAGCGTCTAGAAATTTTACCCTAGTGTTGAGTTATTATTTTTGAGGTTGATAGAGGGATGTAGTATTCATTTTGAGGCTTTATTGTATTTCCTCATCTGATTCTCGAGTGTCCAACCTAGTTTAACCATATGGTGGTGTAAGAATCTTAGGAGTAAGGCATTTGGATAAAAATTCAGTTATCAATTACTATTGCTTGAATTTTATAGATTTACTGACATAATCTTCCCCTTGATCTGGTAGGCTGNTGATGGTGAATCAGCAAAGGACTTGGCATTGGAGCTTGTCAAAAATGTATGTCAATGTAGGCCAATTCTAGAAGCGTCTAGAAATTTTACCCTAGTGTTGAGTTATTATTTTTGAGGTTGATAGAGGGATGTAGTATTCATTTTGAGGCTTTATTGTATTTCCTCATCTGATTCTCGAGTGTCCAACCTAGTTTAACCATATGGTGGTGTAAGAATCTTAGGAGTAAGGCATTTGGATAAAAATTCAGTTATCAATTACTATTGCTTGAATTTTATAGATTTACTGACATAATCTTCCCCTTGATCTGGTAGGCTGAGCTTGTCTAATTTTTCATATTGTTTGTATTTTAGTTCTCACATATTTTTCTGTTTATGATTATGATAACATTGTCAATTAAACTCAATAAAGCCATCAATTCTCACTAAATGGGTCTGGCTGCATTGTAGTTAAAGACCAAATGGAGCTATGTTATGTACTATACCCGCCCCCCCAAAAAAAAAAATCCCACCTTCTACTAAGATACAAAACTGGGCTCCATGAAAAGTAAACACATCTTTTACGGATGATCATCAAAAACACAACTTCGAAGAAAGATTTCAGTATCATCCTGTAACATCATATTATTCTTGTTTTCTTTTTGAAATGCATATCGTAATGTTTGCATTATTTTCTTCCCTCCGAGCTCTTGTAAGTGTGATGCATTTGCCAATCTCCTTGCAACATGCAGCAACTTATTGGGTCATTCTTGTGAATTTTGAGTGCCTGCAGCACTATTTACCAAGCCATTGAAATTTCTTTACTCAAGTTGTCTTTCATTGAGCTTGGAATTTTTAACATGTTCATCATCCTAGTTTTGTGAAATCGATTCTCATAGCTACTTGTCCTTTTTCTCCCCCATCTATACTTGTAGGGTTTAGCTAAATATGTTGAGTGGAGTGCAACCTTGCTGGAAGATGATGCCAAGCGGCAGCTGAAATCTGCTGAACTTCAAGCAAAAAAGGACCGCTTGAGGTTTTGGACGAACTATGTACCTCCTCCTACAAATTCGAAGGCAATCCATGACCAGAATTTTACAGGAAAGGTTGGTCACTTGTAGACGTAAATATCTATTTGAAATTGGTTTTGTCCCTTGAATTCTCTCATACTGTCAATTTTTGATGCCATTAACTTTTGGCTTTGCCCAGGTGGTTGAGATTGTAAGTGGGGATTGCATCATTGTAGCTGATGATTCTATACCATTTGGAAGTCCATTAGCAGAGCGGCGAGTCAACCTTTCAAGTATCAGGTGCCCCAAAATAGGCAATCCTCGTAGGGATGAAAAACCTGCCCCCTATGCCCGGGAAGCAAAGGAATTCCTCCGAACACGCTTAATTGGTCACCATGTATGTATGGTGTTTTTATCCATATAATTTCTGAAGGTAGAGCAAATGTTTATTGAGTCCACATTTTTCAGGTGCAAGTTTCAATGGAATATTCCAGGAAGGTGAGCTTGGCTGATGGCCCTACTGCTGCAGTCAGCACTGCGGACTCCAGAGTAATGGATTTTGGATCAGTTTTCTTTACGTCTCCAGTTAAAGATGGTGATGATGCTTCACCTGCTCTGCCCACCGCAGGCAGTCAGCAGGCTGGGTTAAATGTTGCCGAGCTGTTGGTTGGCCGTGGCTTTGCTACTGTCATTAGACACCGAGATTTTGAGGAAAGATCAAACTACTATGACGGCCTTCTTGCTGCTGAATCACGTGCCGTTGCTGGGAAGAAAGGTATCCACTCTGCCAAGGATCCTCCAGTAATGCACATAACTGACCTGTTAACGGTAAGAAATCCTGCAATAAGACAGCTTTTCTTTACTGTAATGACTAGAGCATAAAGTTACTTTTCTTTTATTTAAATGTCTGTTTAGGCTTCAGCCAAGAAAGCCAGAGACTTTTTACCATTTCTCCAGCGGAATAGGAGGATGCCTGCTGTTGTAGAATATGTCCTCAGTGGTCATCGGTTTAAGCTGTTTATTCCGAAGGAAACATGCAGCATTGCCTTTTCATTCTCTGGTGTTAGATGCCCTGGTCGTGACGAGCCTTATTCTGATGAAGCTATTGCTCTAATGAGAAGGAAGATAATGCAGAGGGATGTTGAGGTAGTTCAATTATTTTTGCAACCATCATCCTGGTTCCAGTTCTTCCATTCTCTATTGTCTGATTTATTCTTTTTCNAGCTATTGCTCTAATGAGAAGGAAGATAATGCAGAGGGATGTTGAGGTAGTTCAATTCTTTTTGCAACCATCATCCTGGTTCCAGTTCTTCCATTCTCTATTGTCTGATTTATTCTTTTTTTGCTCAGATTGAAGTAGAAACCGCCGACAGAACTGGAACTTTCTTGGGATCGTTATGGGAGTCCAAAACCAATATGGCAGTTATACTATTGGAAGCTGGACTTGCGAAGTTTCAAACTTCCTTCGGTGCTGACAGGATCCCGGATGCTCACCTTCTTATGCAGGCTGAGCTGTCTGCCAAAAGGCAGAAATTGAAGGTGAGAAGCAGAACCTATATTTTATTTCAGCTGTTCTACCGCTGTATTAATGGTATCACATGTATACTTTTGTTGCAGCTATGGGAGAGCTACATCGAAGGGGAAGAAGTTTCTAATGGTTCAGCTGCCGAAAGGAAACAGAAAGAAGAGTTGAAGGTGGGCGCTAGGATATATGATTTTGTCATGTAAGACCCTCTTGATGTGCTATATTTAAGTTTGTGATTCATCTTACTGCTATGTACTTTCAGGTAGTGGTTACTGAAGTCCTGGGTGGTGGAAAATTTTATATCCAGACGGTTGGAGATCAGAAAGTTGCTTCTATTCAACAGCAGCTTGCTTCTTTAAAACTTCTTGAAGCTCCTGTAATTGGTGCCTTCAATCCTAGGAAGGGCGATATTGTTCTTGCTCAGTTTAGTGCAGATGATTCTTGGAACCGAGCAATGGTGAGAGTCACAATTTGATACCTCTTTTTGTGGCCTTAAGTTGAAAACTATGGTTTCTCTGATGGTCTGAATTGTATACCTCTATTGGCATTAAATCATATGAAATCCTGAACCCGACTCACTCGACCCAAAAAAGCCTTATCCCAATTATTTTGGGGTCATGAAATTAACTTCCTGAAAAGCGAACAGCAGTATGCTTCTCTAGGCAGTTCCTTAATCTATTCCCTAGGGTAAATGGAGTGCAAAGAATAGGAGGAACGGAAGCAATTGGAAAAGTGCTGCAAAAAATATTAGGCCACTAACACAGGAAATGAGTGTGGATGAGTATATTTATATTTCTGTATACATGAAGAAATCAATTGGTGGGGGAGAGGGCTTGGGAAGCCTCGTTTTCCTAACTAATTAATGCTCTGCCTTTTTTGATTTATTTCCTCCAGCCTATCGAATTCTCTCTTAAGCTTTCCATTCTTAATTTTTGACCCTCTCATTTTTCGCTGTCTACCACTAATAAATATATTATTAAAGCTGGGGATGGAGGTGAAAATTGGCCCCAAAGATATTCCACTGGATATCATATAGTTTCTGTTTTTTGGCCACAAACACGTCTTAAACCGTTATGCCGATTTAGTATTGGACATGGCCAGCTCCCCAATGTTAGGAAATGCAATTTTGGTTGTATGTTTATCTGCATTTATAAGTTTTATTATTTAATTGTTACTTTTCCAAAAGAGGTATATATACCGGAACCCATCTGCAAATCTTGATGGTTGAAACCCATAGGATGTAAAATTTTGAAGGGAGTGTTCTTTTTAAATAAATTATTTCACAAGAATCATCTACTTGTTTGTGTGCATGTGCATGAAGTAATCAATGTGTGGCGTAGGCAGTGGTTTTGACCCGACAAGTTTTGGACATGTCATGTGAATTAGGGAGTTGTGTGACCTTTCATAGAAAATAAGATGTCAGGGTTATAAATACCATTTAGTCATTGTACTTACGAACTATCAAGTTGAAGAAATAAGCAGGCTTGCAGTCAGGTTAAAGAAAAGATCAATTGTATGAAATAAGAATTTTTACAACTTAAACATATATGCAGAGAAGTAATGAATTTATGATTTCATAAACTATGATCTCTTAAGGATTTTATTTTACCATTGATTCAAAAATGAATGTGTCCCCATTCTATAGTTGGAAAGGTTTCTCATGAGTTATGTGACTGAATAGGTATTTCCATATTGAACCTTGAGGAATATTTTAAGAATCTGGAAAACCTATAAAAATCTTTATTTGATTTTTTGCAGATTCTAGTAGACCACAGTGATAATCCATTTGATTGACTTTTTTTATATACCAAAACATCTGCTGTCCTATTTTTAAGGATTTCTCAACCCTGACTCATTATCGCTGTATTCCACGTCACCAAAACTGCTGTTTAATCTCCATGTCACTGACTGAAATTAGCGGGCTTGCCTTTTCCTGGAAATTTTTATAGTCGTCGACAGCATCATGATTGTTTTTGGTTTCCATGATTTTGAGTGATGATCTCGAAAAAGCTTTTTATCATCTCTTTCAAATTGACTTACATATAATGAAGCTCAAATGACAAAAAAGTAAAGAAAGGCTGAATAGGGAATAATTTTTCCCAGTCTATTTACTGATTTAGATGGACAACATTCTTGTTTCAGCTTAGAATTATCTAGGTTGTCGTGTTCCTTTTTGTTTGTAGGTGGAAATATTGTTGCAAACTTAAATCAATCTCTGTTTTTGCCATGAGCTTTGTAATTTTTAAAAATTTTCTGNATTTACTGATTTAGATGGACAACATTCTTGTTTCAGCTTAGAATTATCTAGGTTGTCTTGTTCCTTTTTGTTTGTAGGTGGAAATATTGTTGCAAACTTACATCAATCTCTGTTTTTGCCATGAGCTTTGTAATTTTTAAAAATTTTCTGAGCTTTAACGTTACTTTATCAATGGTTTATCTTAATGGTGCTCTTGACGATTTGAATATGTACTTAATCAATGCCTTAGCTTTAACCTTTTACATGCTCTATTTTCATAAAAAGGTCTTCATGATTATTCATCTTTATCGTCCGAAGTGAAAAAATTTCAATCCTTTTCTGTATCATTTAAGTAATCATGCTTATTACTTACCAAAAAAATCAGTTTGCATTATTTCTTACTTCAGTTTTTTCTTATTCACCATGTAAAGATTGTAAATGGTCCTCGTGGTGCTGTTGAATCTCCAAAAGACAAGTTTGAAGTGTTCTACATCGACTATGGAAATCAAGAAGTTGTCCCTTACAGCCAGTTGCGACCTCTTGATCATTCTGTGTCATCTGCACCTGGCCTTGCTCAACTATGCAGTCTGGCTTTTGTAAAGGTTCCAAGCTTGGAGGAGGATTATGGACAAGAAGCAGCTGAGCGTTTAAGTGAGCACATTCTTAATGGTTCAAAAGAATTCAAGGCCGTAATTGAGGAAAGGGATGCTTCAGGAGGAAAAGCTAAAGGGCAAGGAACTGGGACTATCCTAATGGTGACTCTGGTTGATACGGAAACTGAAGTCAGTGTAAATGCCACCATGTTGAAGGTTCGTATAATAATGTTCTTTAACTTTATATGGGAACATAGAAGCTTTTCATCAGTTGCATTCCCATGTGTTTTTTTCTGAATCTGCATTAAGCAGTTCAATTAGTCTTTTAGAAGGAATCAATTCCCGATGGACAAATAGCTTGTCTTGATCTTGGGCCGAAGTCTCAGTTCTTTGGTTTACAATTGCTTTGACTTGGTTGAAGTCGGGAAAGTATTATTGTTTCTGTTTTCTTATGAACTTGATCTAATATATGAGTAGCTGCTTGTTTGGTCGGTTGTTTAGGGGCAGCTAGTTGCGCCTACAGCTCTGCTTGTGGTGATTTTGTTCTTTGAACATAGTACTTACGTATTCACTAGCTCTACTGCACACTGCAATGCATCAACTTATTGCTTAGAGCACCTGGCTGTGGCACTTGAAAAAGATGCAAATTATTGCCCCCATATCGATCTTACCTAGTTGATTTTGTGGTTGTTCGTTGGCAGCATCTTTTTAGTTGTGTGTGTGTGTGGTTTGTGTTGTTTGCGTTTCCGGTTGCCTGATCAACCCTTTTGAAACCTGCAGGAAGGGCTTGCTAGATTGGAAAAAAGGAAGAGATGGGAGCCCAAGGACAGACAGCAGGCTCTGGATGAGTTGGATACATATCAGGCGGAAGCTCGTAAGGAAAGGCTTGGGATGTGGGAGTATGGAGACATCGAGTCGGATGATGAGGACACAGCCGTGTCGGGCAGGAAGACTGGTGGGAAGCGGTGAATACACTAGCTTCTTCGTGCCCTGAATTAATCAAGTTGAGTACTACTCTATCCTGCAAGAGTTTAGTTACAGGCACGACGAATCCGACTGCCAGAGATACAGAAAGAAGAGACACCTTGTAGATCAAGGTTTATTTTAAATTAATTTTGTTCCATTTCGTTTTTTCTTTAAATCTTGGAAAAATAAACTTTTAAATTTTCCTTTTTTTTTTTTCGTTTTTTAATACATTTTGTTTTTTAATTTATACAACTTTAATAAAACAACTTTCATAATGTGTGTCCATTCTTACCTCTGAGGATGGCAGAGAACTTTTCGATCTCAACAAAGCTCTATGGTGCTAATAATTTTTCCCGTTGCAGAGAAGGATTTATATTATGGAAATCCACCTACTTATTATTTCCTCCTCCTGAATGCATTTGTGCTGAAAATGGGTGTCTCACTTCACCTTGAACAGAGAAATGCTAGAGAGCTTTATTTTAGAGCTCATTGGAATAGGAAATATTGGATTCATCTCATTTCTGACAAACTTATCCTTGATCTTTGGTGTTTGGTGGGGATACGCTTATAGATTGTGAGTTTTATTGAATACATGACAGAGATCTCTATCGAGGAAAAATATGATGAAAGGGATTCAAAACCTACATATCTCCGACTAGATAGACGTAATGAACGTGCTTTTGTGAAACTTGTAGAGTAAATATTACAATTAGTTCTCAAACTTTGTCTTCTGTTTTAAAAATAGGTCAATGAACTTTCAATTGTCTCTATTTAGTATTTTAACTATTAATTTACATCAATTAAGTTAGTTCGTCAATTTCAGCCGTTATAACCAATAGAGAGGCAACCACATGTTTTTCGTGTGGCCTTCCCCGTCACGTGGTGACGNTTTCAATTGTCTCTATTTAGTATTTTAACTATTAATTTACATCAATTAAGTTAGTTCATCAATTTCAGCCGTTATAACCAATAGAGAGGCAACCACATGTTTTTCGTGTGGCCTTCTCCGTCACGTGGTGACGAAAGGATTTAATAGACACAAAATTAATTGTTGAGATACTAAATTAAGACAATTAAAAGTTTAAAGGCCATTTTAAAATAAGAGATCGAGTTTAAGGATTAATTATGATATTTATCTAACAGTATGAACACTATAGCTACGTTCACACAACATTATCTACTACAAGATAACTAGGTGACTAGTATTAGTTAATAAGAATATATCGTTACCTTCTACTGCTGAGAAAGTGTCGAGTTTTGTACTACTCTATCTTCTATGTGGGTGTTTGTATTTTTTGTAATCCTCTCATTGGAATGCTCGAGCTCTCCATGTTATTATTGTAGTAAAATTTGAGCTCAATTGGAAGTCGATACGGGGATGATGAAGCATCTTCATTTAAAAAAGCGATATCAAACCCAGATAGACAACGGGATGTCATTCATCAACATAATTTAGAACACTCATAAAACACCGATTAAAATCTTCAAACTCATAATCAAGTTTTGAACCCACTAAAGAAGAGTTATTGGCTCTTTAGGGCAAAAAAAAAAATTCATCCAGGATGCAAAACTTGTTTGATACACAACATTACATGTTTGGATGATCCACATTGAGGGAGGGTTTGGATTGGTTTTAGGAAATCCCTTCAAACCCAACCTAAAGAATTTTTACATGGAATTCATCATAAACACAATTCAATCCTATGTTTCGTAAGCAATATAAATACATGTGAGATCTATGGATTTATCACAATTATAACCACACATTTATTTTGTAAATAGCTATATTGTCTATTGCCCAATTCAATTCATACATTTGTTTGTTTAATTACATAGAGGAGTAATTAGGGTGGGGTGAGGGATGTGATTTGGTAGATAAGATATTTTTATTAGGGATACATAGGTTATTTGATATAGTTAACCTAGAGTAGCATATATGAAACCTATCCCTTGAGTCCAACCAATGTATATATGAGTTTAATATTTCGGGCCACTTATGGGTTAGAATATGAATTTCATGTTTAAAAATCCTAACCAAACATACTGGTCTATGAATAAATCCACTTTTCTAAACCCACCCAAAACCCATCAAACAAACATCCCAATGGGAAGGACCATTGATGGTCCAGTTTTTAGCTAAACGTCAAACTTAGAACACATTTCTACATCTCATAATTACGAGAGATCTGTACACAATCATTGATTTCATAGAACACACATTGAGGATGTTCTTTGCTATCTGAATATCTAAATTCCCCTGCCCTCTAAGTCACTACAATTGCCATCGACCGAACTGTGCCTAGAGTTCCTGCCTCTGTGCTTACCACTCTCATGGCCAACCAAAAGCAAAAATTCGTCGAATTTGAGCGCGGAAGTTTTAGGGTTGATCCAATGATCAAACTTGTCGTCTTACAAGAAATCTCAAGTTTGATATTTTTTACACCCTTTAAGAATATATAATTAAACTAACTCAAGTTACGATAGTCAATTTTAAAACTCAAGAGAATAGTCAACACAAATCTGAACATTTTGTACCAAAAAAATAAAATAAAATGAGAGCGGNCCCTTTAAGAATATATAATTAAACTAACTCAAGTTACGATAGTCAATTTTAAAACTCGAGAATAGTCAACACAAATCTGAACATTTTGTTCCAAAAAAATAAAATAAAATGAGAGCGGGTTGAATTCAAGTTGAAAGGCTGGATTAAGGTTGAGTGGACAGTTTCATTTCTTGAATTAAATCTGGATTCACATTTTAACCCACCCAACTGACCGAAGCTGCACACCTAAACCTGCTACATGAACAGATAGCCAACCATACCAGCAGTTTATAGCCGACAAATAATTCCAATAGACCACAATCAAGACTTAAAACCACGAGAGATCACAAATTTTCATCACCAATAATCTTCAAAATCTTCCCAGTTAAAATCCACAACTCCTCAAGACGTAGGTACATGCATAACTGATCAACTTCTGAAAGATCGTCTCATATACATTGCCATATATGATTGTTTCGAAACAAACCTTAATAATGAAAAATCGTGGTCTCGTGTGAAAAATTCAGCACGGGAAACAACTAAGCCAAAAATCTACCAAAAAACTGATAACCGCTAGTGCCTCTGTTCTGCTCTCCATCCCTAATTATCCCTCCTGGTATTCCTCCGACGTGGAGGAGCAGTGGTGTCGTCATTCTGCTCTTCCTTCTCCTCTGTGTTTTCTTGATTGTTTGAAGTCTCAGCTACTTCTGTCTTCTTGCTCTCCTCAGTGGTTTTTGCCTGTATTAGCAGGCCAACAAATAAATCCTAAGAAAGGTGTATATACGTCTCCAAAAGTTCCCAGAGAAGTAAATAAAAATCAGTTCAAGTAGAAAAAAGGTACAAAACTCACTGGCTTCTTGCCACCAAACACGAGCTTCAACAAAATTGTGAAGACAACCACCACAACAGAGATGAGGATGCCAATTGTCATGTTTGGTTGTTTCTCAGCCTTCTCGATGAGATCCTGCAAGAAAAGTTCAGCATTTACCCTTTACAGCAATTAGCAAGATAAATAATATCTTTAGACATGTAAAATTTTAGACTGGTGTCTCACCAAAATCTTAAGCTTGTGCTCACTCAAGAACGGAATGTCGGCAATCTTGTACAGGAGGTCAAATACCTTCTTCTGCAATAATTAGCTCAGCTACTTAGGTATTAGATTGATAATAACCTGAAAGAGGAGCAGAAATAAGGCATCTAAAGATAATACCTGGACCCCTTTGAGACCACCAGAAATGCCGGCAGCTTCTTCCTCAGCTTTCTGCTTCTCTTTTTCTACTAAAAACTTCGGCTTCCATTTCATCTCCCTGTAGGATTCAGCAACTTTCTCATCACTGGCTATCAAAATATTGTCGAACAAAATACCATCTTGCATCGTCCAAATCTCAATACCAATGGCAGCAACAGGCTCAAAGTTCGGTTTCTCAAGCTCAAAGTAGTTCGGGTTTGGAATTTGCTGAGGTTTCCAGATACCCTTGTAGCTGGGGTTGTCAATAAGAGAGGCATACCATTTTCCTTTATAAGCTGGATTCCGCTTCATTGGCCTCTTCCACTCACCACACCCAGATGCAGACTCACACTTGGGGTTGTCAATCTTTGGAGCCTCCCATTCACCATCCTCCTCATCATCCCAATCTTCTGGTTTTGTTGCGTCGGGATCATCAATTTCCTCAGGCTCATCATCTAACCATCCTTCAGGTTTTACAGCATCCTCATCTTCAATTTCCAAAGGTGCATCCTCATCCCAATCTTCTGGTTTTTTTGCGTCTGGGTCTGGAATTTTTGCCCTCTCATCCCAGTCTTCTGGCTTCTTATCGTCTGGATCAGGAATTGTCTTGGGAGGAACAAGTGGGGGCTCAAAATCTTCAGCAGAGAGGAAATTAGCCTTCTTCTTCTCTTCTCCATCAATCAAGACCCGCAACTCATTATCAGGTTTCAAAATGGCGGTGTATACATGGGTTAGTTTATCAGATGGCACAGATGGAGGGTTTTTGAGATGGTGTTCAATATATTCGCCACTCTTGGGGTTCTTATGCTTCAAAATGAAGTGAACCTTGTTTGTGGCCCCACATTTATCAGGTCCAAACATTATAGAGTAGGGAGACTCGCTATCAAAAACATTGGCCGTCCACCCAGCCTCCTGTGGTCGGAGGTATTTGAGATATGCACCGCCACATTCAAGCCCATTCTGGAGGCGAGTTTCGTACTGGAGAATGGCAGTTCCATCCTTGAGATCTGCAGGGTCATGAAGCTCCTTCACAATTGCGTACTTCCTAGCCACTTCACTCACAAGAAGCCCATAATCATCATGTCCCTCACTCTTTGCATGTTTCCATACACCTACAAGGCCAAGAATTAGATCAACATACACTAAAAATCTGAGAAACTGAAAAAGAGGCTGATATTATGGAATAATTTTGCAGCAGAGAGAAGCAATACGAGCACACACCACATATCATCTCAGTTACTGTATCTAGAGACAGAAAGCTATAATAAATAAACATCAAATATTTCAATGTAACAGGACCACATGTAAAATTGAATGTTCATTACAACACTTGGAACATTTGTCTGCATCAACTGAACAGGATTGCATACAATCAAACTAGATATCTCCCGAGTTATTCAAAGATATTAGCTCTGATAAACATGCATCTATTACAACAAATTAGTTAGACTTCTGAGCATAGTTATTAGTATCGTACGATACGTCATAATACATAGGTAAAACGATACGAATCGGAGTTTTGCATCGTTTTTGCATAGTATCGTCCAATACATGATACGTTTTTATGATACGTCGTATTGGTCGATACAAACAATTCGCGAAGTCTCTGTTTATTTATTTATTTATTTTTAACAGCACGCACAATTGAGCCTTGNATCGTCCAATACATGATACGTTTTTATGATACGTCGTATTGGTCGATACAAACAATTTGCAAAGTCTCTGTTTATTTATTTATTTATTTTTAACAGCACGCACAATTGAGCCTTGGAGAACAAAGAAATGTCAAAGAAAAGGCAACAGAGATGAAGATAAACCCACAAATCAGCAAAAACACCCAAGTAAAAGCAAATCAAACAAATTTTCGAAATTGAAAAAAATAACAACACTAACCTGTAAATTTCGAATGAAACCCTAGATCTCACGATCTCTCTCTCTCTGTCTCACAATCTCTATTTTCATCGCTGTGAATTGCGACCACGAGGTGCAAGCCACTAGGTATGTTATTCTTCTTCTTCCTCTCTTTCTCTCTCTCCGGCACCGGCATCGGCCAGTCTCTGTTTGGTCATGGGTCACGAGACTCACGACTGTGTTTTTTTTGATATAAGTATAAAGAATTACACTTGTTACCCCACTACATTATAACTTTTTACTTTAAGTATACATAAGTACCATTAATTTAATTTGATACCCTTCATTATTTTTTTAATATTAGTAAATTATATTGGTGACTTGAATAGTAGGTGAAACATTAATGAAATGTTATGTTTTTATGAGTCTATAATTTTTTTTCAAAAGCATATATATTTTATTATTAATTATTTAAAATTGCACCGTATTTTACGATATACGATACGATACAATACACTATTTTTAAAAAACGATACACATTCCGATACACAATTTGATAACTATGCTTCTGAGCTAAAGTAAGCTCAAACTTATATTCAAAGCCAAGCACACCCAGTCAACCAAAGCAAAAATATCCGGCTTACTAAGTTGGTTGGTCATCATAAAAACGATGTACACAGAAATGCATAACATGCTGCAGCTTATGACCATATTCAGATTCTTCAATAACATTTCTAACGTTACAAGTAACATGCTATTAAGATACACTTTTGCAACTTACACTCTCTCCACTAACATCTTTTGCCCTCATATTAAACTAAACTGTTCTACTCTCAACAAATTGCTCAGGATTCACGCCCTATGGTGCCATATAGAAAGTAATGAATCCTCCGATTTTGTACAAAGCAACTCACTGGTTGAGAAGACAGAAGTATCAATCTCAAATATGTGCTTATTACAAAAAAAAATCAACATTAGAACAACTAATCCATCAACTGTAAATAGACAGTGCACATTCACCCACCGAATTTGGTATCCAAAGCTCAAATCAACCTAACTAGCACAAATATTTGCAGGAAAACATACATTTCAATTTCATCTAAGGAACAAATGCACATAGAAAGAGAGTCTTCAGCCAATGCGATTAATAGACAAATTCAAGACCGTCAAATCCAAATAAACCACATATTCAAATAAATTTTACCTTTATATTCCTCCTTCTCAGACACCACCCATCGCCCATCAAACGCTTCATCAAATGACTCATAGAATTTCTACCCAGAAACAACCAAAAGCATTTCTCAGAAAACACACAACCTATACACACACGCACACATACCCACTGACATACACGTAGAAATGGAAAAAACAGTGATAGATAGAGATCACTTACCACATCAGAAGAAGCGTATAGCTGAGAAGCAAAGTAACCGATCAGAAGCAACAATACATACTGCATACAAAGGTTCCGCTTCGTTTCTTCCATTATTCCCACCAAATCAACTCTTCACTATGAAGAAATTCAGTGGCCAAAAAACTCCGAAGATCGGAGATCCAATAACAGAAGAGGTGTAATTAACAATCAAACCCTAACCCTAACCATAATTCCAGATTGACGACACGTGAGATAAGATCTATCTGGGAGAAAGAGAAATATCAAGAAACCAATATGAGGAGACTGGGGCCTTTTGTGCTTTTTGTTTTTGGGGGGGTGATCCAGTGATGATATGTACTTCTGTCGTCGAGTGGTTCGGCCAATGATATTTCATACCACTTGATTTTGACGAATAGAATCATGCCACGTATGTAGGTTTGGAATAGCGACATCTAGCCTGCACTATCAATGAGATCTATGGTTGTTGCAGTTAAAAGGTATCAAAATATAACAAGATATCGAGATGATATATAAAATTAGTGGATTTAAATTTTTTTTAAATCATTTTTTTTGTAAATGATCGAATTCGACATAATACAATTAATAAATAAATTATATATNAATTTTTTTTAAATCATTTTTTTTGTAAATGATCGAATTCGACATAATACAATTAATAAATAAATTATATATAATAAAATTGATCGAAAGAAATATTCAATACGTCTTATTTACATATCGATTATATATAATTTAACATGATATAAATTTAATATAATATAATTTATTAAATATAAATTAATAAACGAATAAATTATAATTGATATGTTTTTTTGACAAGTTCTCCACGTATTCCGATCAGAAAATATCCTCCAAACACCCGACCCCCGCGACCCCATTACTTGATAAGCAACCCCAGCCCCCAAAGTTTGGTGATCCTCCTCACCGGCAACTCACTTCTCAAAAAAGAATAGACCAGCAGCAAATAAACTATTACCACTTTGCAAATAATACAAATACAATATTCTTTGGCAACAATGAAGTTATATATTTAGGTGGTGTTTGATAAACTTAAAAATTAAAAACTTAAAGTTGAATGATGAATTTTAAGTACTAAATACTAAAATTTTTAATTGGTAGACTGTTTGTGATCAACTAAAATTTAAATATTGAATTCAATCAAATTGTTTGACAAATACAAGAAACTTAAATCTATAAATTATTATTATTTTAATTTTGTCTTTTATTTTAACCGTTTCTCCGCAACCCATATTCCTACCACTACCATCATTGTGATGATGATGGCGATAGTGGCGACACAATGGTGATGGTCATGTCGGTGGCACAATGACAATGGTTGTGGTGACAACACACCGGTGTTGGTGGTGATGTTAGCGGCACAATGCTGATGGAGATAGTGCTAGTGGGGGTGGCTTTAGCACAATGGTGGCGGTGGCACAATAATAATGGTGGTGGTGGAACAATGATAATGGTGGTAACGTTGGTGATAGTAGTTGTAGTGGCGGTGATAATGTTGGGAGTGGCAGTGACACAATAATAGTGGTGATGGTAGCGACACAATGGTACTGGTGGCGATGATACAATAGTGATAGTGGCGACGACACATTGGTGGTGGCACCGACAGTACAATGGTGGTGAATGGTGGGTATTGAAAAGTTAAAAATGTAAAATACATTGAAGATATATTTGTCCATTACGAAGAATTGATAAAAATCTTACAAACTAACATTTTTCAGAATTAAGTGATAACTAGGTGGTTTGTTATTTAAAATATTAATTTATTTTTAAGAAATGCTTAAAAAATTTAAGTGATATGAGTTTTAAGTTATCAAACGAGTTTAATTAATTAATTGCTTAAAGTATTCAATTTAAAACTTTAAGTTTTGTTATCAAACAGTCTCTTAGTCACATAATTTGGTTTAACCATATCTGCTCTGTCACTCCGTGCACGAATTTGTGTGTTAGAAACGAATTCTCTGTGAAATTGCGTTCTCATATTTTTTAATTTACAAATTTAATTTATTAATTCGTAACTTCGACTAATTTGTACTCACACTTAGTTATATGTTTCTTCGTTATTATTCATATTCTTCTTTGACAAGTATAGACTTATCTCTAAAGATATGTCTCAAATTAGAATAATATTTGTAATCTATGACTACCGCTTTGGGATATTATAATCAATATATATCTAAAAATTAAATAATTTATCGCATAGTTGTGTGTGGAGTTTAATTTTTATTAATTTTTGTGAGTGAATGCTTATATGTATATAAATCAGGGATAATTCGTGTCTGAAGTCATGTGAAAATGTGAATGATTTTAAGAGGAATATTGATAATAATTGAATGAGTCTATTTGAAACCGTTAGATAAACTTATTAAAATCTATCATGTTTTATATTATAGATAATAAGACGTTTTTAAGTTACTCACACATTAAATTTCTTAAAATTTAGCTGCTTTGTGCTTTCACTCTTGCTCCCATTGTCCCACTCTATATATGATGTAGGTTGTATATGGTACTACTTTGGGTAAGGACCATACGCAAACCCTACCATTTTTAAGCATTGAATATCAAGGAAGTTGAGGTTTGTTGCACGTTATATCAAATATCACAACAACTATGGCAGTCCTATTCCTCCTCACCATACAACACCCCCTTCCCC